AGTACTACAAGTACTACTGATACTACTACTGCAAGTACTACAAGTACTACTGATACTACTACTACAAGTACTACTACTACTGATACTACTACTAAGTACTACTACTACTGTACTACTACTACAAGTACTACTACTACTACTACAAGTACTACTGTACTACTGATACTACTACTACAAGTACTACAAATACTACTGATACTACTACTACTACAAGTACTACTACTGATACTACTACTACTACTACTCTACTACTACTACAAAGTACTACAAGTACTACTATACTACTACTACAAGTACTACAAGTACTACTGATACTACTACTCAAGTACTACAAGTACTACTACTACTGATACTACTACACTACAAGTACTACACTACTGATACTACTACTGATACTACTATACTATTACTACAAGTACTACAAATACTACTGATACTACTACTACAAGTACTACAAATACTACTACTACTACTGTACTACTACTACTGATACTACTACAAGTACTACTACACTACTACTACATACTACTACTGATACTACTACTACAAGTACTACTACTACTGTACTATACTACAAGTACTACAAATACTACTGATACTACTACTACTACTACAAGTACTACTGATACTACTACTACAAGTACTACAAGTACTACTGATACTACTACTGATACTACTACTACAAGTACTACAAATACTACTGATACTACTACTGCAAGTACTACAAGTACTACAAGTACTACTGATACTACTACTACAAGTACTACAAATACTACTACTGCAAATACTACTGATACTACTACTACAAGTACTACAAGTACTACTGATACTACTACTGCAAGTACTACAAGTACTACAAATACTACTGATACTACTACTACAAGTACTACAAATACTACTGATACTACTACTACAAGTACTACAAGTACTACAAATACTACTGATACTACTACTACAAGTACTACAAGTACTACTGATACTACTACTACAAGTACTACAAGTACTACTGATACTACTACTACAAGTACTACAAATACTACTGATACTACTACTGCAAGTACTACAAATACTACTGATACTACTACTGATACTACTACTGCAAGTACTACAAGTACTACTGATACTACTACTGATACTACTACTGCAAGTACTACAAGTACTACTACTACTACTACTACTTACTACTACTACTGATACTACTACAAGTACTACTACTGATACTACTACTGTACTACTACTACTACTACTACAAGTACTACAAATACTACTGATACTACTACTACAAGTACTACAAATACTACTACTACTGATACTACTACTGATACTACTACTGCAAGTACTACAAATACTACTGATACTACTACTGCAAGTACTACAAGTACTACTGATACTACTACTACAAGTACTACAAGTACTACTGATACTACTACTACAAGTACGACAAATACTACTGATACTACTACTGATACTACTACTACTACTATTACTACTGATACTACTACTACAAGTACTACAAGTACTACTACTACTACTACTACTACTACTACTACTGATACTACTGCTACTACTACTACAAGTACTACTACTACTACTACTAGTACTGCTGATACTACTACTACTGATACTACTGATAATAATACTACTACAAGTGCTACTAATACAAGTACTACTACTACTACTACTGATAATACTGATACTACTACTACTACTAATGATAATACTAGTACTACTACTACAACTACAACAAGTACTAATACTACTGATACTACTGATAATACTACTACTTCTACTACTACCACTACTACTACTACTACAAGTACTAATACTACTACTGATACTTCTGATAATACTACTACTACAAGTACTACTACTACTGATAATAGCACTACTACAAGTACTAATATTACGATACTACTGATAATAATACTACTACTACAATTACTACTACTACTGATATTACTGATAGTAGTACTGCTACTACTACTGGACCCAGGACCGGACTCAGACCAGAGACTGAACCAGACCAGGGACCAGAGAAACGTGTGTTGGGAGTGAGATTCAAACCTTCAATCTTCTGATGGATGGTGGACTCCTGTGTCTGCAGTATGTGGACAATACAACAGTCCTGTACTCTCTGTGTACTACTACTACTACTACTGCTACTACTACTACTACTGCTACTACTACTACTGCTACTACTACTGCTACTACTACTACTACTGCTACTACTACTGCTACTACTACTACTACTACTACTACTACTGCTACTACTACTGCTACTACTACTACTACTACTACTACTACTACTACTGACTACTACTACTACTACTACTACTACTACTACTGCTACTACTACTACTACTACTACTGCTACTACTACTACTACTGACTACTACTACTACTACTACTACTACTACTACTACTACTACTGACTACTACTACTACTACTACTACTACTACTACTACTACTGCTACTACTACTACTACTACTACTACTACTACTACTACTACTACTACTACTACTACTACTACTACTACTACTACTACTACTACTGCTACTACTACTACTACTACTACTACTACTACTGCTACTACTACTACTACTACTACTACTACTGCTACTACTGCTACTACTACTACTGCTACTACTGCTACTACTGCTACTACTGCTACTACTACTACTACTACTGCTACTACTGCTACTACTGCTACTGCTACTACTACTACTACTATTACTACTACTACTACTACTACTACTACAGTACAGTACTACAGTAATGTCTCACACACACCTGCTGTGAACACTTCACATGTAAAACAAACATGTGAAGTACATGTGTGTAATATGAACCACCTGCTTGTGCTTGTGCTGCCTGTGCTTGTGTTGCTTGTGATTGTGCTGCTTGTTCTGTCTATGCTTATGCTGCCTGTGCTGCATGTGCTTGTGCTGCATGTGCTTGTGCTGCCTGTGATTGTGTTGCTTGTGCTGCCTGTGCTTGTGTTGCTTGTGCTCCCTGTGCTTGTGCTGTCTGTACTTGTGCTGTCTGTGCTTGTGTTGCTTGTGCTCCCTGTGCTTGTGCTGTCTGTACTTGTTCTGCTTGTGCTGCCTGTGCTGCATGTGCTTGTGCTGCATGTGCTTGTGCTGCCTGTGATTGTGTTGCTTGTGCTGTCTGTGCTTGTTCTGCTTGTGCTTGTTCTGCTTGTTTTGCCCATGCTTGTGCTGCCTGTGCTTGTGCTGCCTGTGCTTGTGCTGTCTGTGCTTGTGTTGCTTGTGCTGCCTGTGCTGTGGTGCAGATGTGATGGTGTCATTCTCAAACAGACGAGTCTCTGTCAAAAACACTGAACTAAAATCACAAAAAAACGACCCTGATCATTTCTGTTAGAGACTAAAAACAAACCTCTCTGTTTTACGACACAGATCTGCATCTGAACAATAATTTGATCTGCTCCATCTGTGTTAAACGTGATGGACTGAAGAATGTTGTGATCTCATCTGAAACTCACATACACAATCCACGTCAAAGAGCGGCCTGTGTGTGTGTGTGTGTGTGTGTGTGTGTAATGTTATAACAGTGTAATGTGTGAACAGAACATGTGTAGAGCTGTGCTGGGTTTCAGACGACATCACTACATATTTAAGTCATATTTCATACAGATGGAGCAGCTCAAATAAATACTGATAATGTATTTTTTGTTAAATTATAGTTCTGGGTCTTTTCACAAATAGTAAAGGTCATTTTACACATTTGTGAATTTTCCTTAATGTAAAACAGAGTGTCATCGACTGCCGAGTTTCAGATGACTTCACAACATTCTAAAGGCCAATAATGTTTCATACAGAAGGGGGCGGGTAAAATGTTTAATGCTAAAATTCAGTTTCTTGTTTAATTGATTCTTGATTAATATAGTGAGTTCATAGAAATGATCAGATCCAAAATGTGTGACTTTATCTTTTGGTTATTTCATGGCAAAGAACAAAGTAATGAATATGTAAAACAGTCTCTTGTCTCCATCTGGGAAATAACATCATCACATTCTAGAGTCTGAAAACTAAATACACTGTGTATACTGTGTGTAAGTGTATATAACAGTGTACATGTACATTTTTATGTACATGTCAGACAGAGCTGCCTGTGATGATCTCAGTGCAGGTTTTTCATGTACAGTATTTCTGATAGATCCATGAACAGTACACGTGTGTGTGTGTGTGTGTGTGTGTAACAGTATCAGTGTATATGTGTATGTGTGTAGATCTGTATGTGTGTATAGTGCTTAGTGATAGACCTGTCTGTGTATAACAGTATATAAAATACATAAGTATATATATCCATAAGTGTGTATAGTGACAGACTGTACATGTATACGAGTGTGTGAGTGTGTACATATGTTATGTCAGACACACGGCCTGTGTGTGTGTAACAGTGTATAACAGTATATAAAAGTATATCTATAAGTGTGACAGTGACAAAAAAAATAAAAATAAATATATATATATATATATACTATATATATATATATATATATATATATATATATATATATATATATATACTGTATATATATATGCGTGTGTGTGTGTGTGCACGTGTATATAGAGTATGTCCATGTATATGTCAGACAGAGCTGCTTGTGTTTGTGTAACAGTATATAAATGTATATAAATGTATATAAGTGTATAACTATAAGTCTCTATAAGTGTGTATAGATGTGTGTACCAGTATGTAAGTGTATATATGTGCACATCTATAAGTGTGTATAGTGACAGACTGTACATGTATATACTGTATATATGTGTGTGTATATATACTGTATATATGTGTGTGTATATATACTGTATATATGTGTGTGTGTATATACTGTATATATATGTGTGTGTGTGTGTGTATATATACTGTATATATATGTGTGTGTGTGTGTATATATACTGTATATATAGTGTGTATATATGTGTGTGTGTGTGTATATAGAGTATGTGCATGTATATGTGATGTCAGACAGACCTGCCTGCTTTGGTGATGATCATCTCAGTTCCTGCTTCGTGAAACTTCTTCCACAGATCTCGCTCGTGAAGAGCCACTTTTATGTTCTCTATGTTCTGCAAAAATACAAAAACAAAAAAACTATCAGGCATTAGAAAAGAAGAGACGGAGAAGTAAGGACACGACACTTTTACAAAATATTTACAGAAGTTCATCTGAGTGCACACACACACACGCACACACACACACACACAGCACACACACACACACACACACACACACACACACACACACACACACACACACACACACACACACACACACACACACACACACAGACACACACACACACACACACACACACACAGACACACACACACACACACACACCAACACACACACACCCACACACACACCCACACACACATACACCCACACATACCACACACGCACACAACACACACCACACACACGCACACACATACACACACACACACACACACACACACACACAGACACACACGCATGCACCCACACACGCACGCACACACACACACAGACACACACACACAGCACCACACACACCACACACACACACACACACACCACACACACACACACACACACACACACACACACACATACACATACACACACACACACGCGCTGCGGCGCTGCATGAGCTGAACGTTCCTGCTCTTTCAAATTATTTATTATTAATTAAATGAAATATAAACGTGCATTAGTCAGAGTAACTGGGACAGTTTTGACTTTCTCTTATATATTTGTGTTGTGTATTTAACAGCTGTTTGCTGCTCGTCGCCCGAGTGTCTGAAATGAAAACGTTTTCCATCTGGGGATCAATAAGAGTAATCAATAACAAGCAGTAACAATAACTCTGGATCTGAAATAAAAAGTTCACTTTTATGACCGGATTTGTCGTATATTTTCTGAGCATTTTTTGTGGTTTTGAGTTTTATTATTTTGTGATTTAAAAACATAATTAGTGGTTTGCAGTAATTTATTTGGTTTATTGCATCTGAATACTGGAGTGGTTAAATCTTAATTAAAACTCAAAAAAAAAAAAGTATTGTACTCATAATAAAGTACAAATCAAGAATGAAAAACAAAAACACAAAAAAAATCACATGTTGTATTTTTCTCCATAAACACAGAGACGTTTCCCCCCCTCCCCGGGCCCCAGCTCGTCTGTACCTGGTCGTGTTCTCTGGATCCAGGGGCCCCTCCGCTGGCGCCGTGTCCCACTCGAGGCGCCTCGCTCTGGGCTTCAGCTCCACACGAGGCCCTGGGCTGGTCTGGAGCCGCGGAGCTCTTCTCCTGCAGCATCTCTCTGTCTCTGAGGACGTAAAGTAAACAGGTAACACTCACTTTACTCACAAAAATACAAGAAACACACACAAATAAGAATACACATTTTCACTCACTGTATTTCAATTTGTCACCAAACTAAAATTTCAGACTCAATTTCAGTACTAAAACATATACTCGATATATTTTCTGAACTCAACTGATCCTTTTAAAAGTTTTTTTTTTAGACAATTTTGTAATTTCCAACACAAAGTAAGAGTATTTGTTTATTACACCAGCTGTTCTCACACTGTTCTGATCAAAGTCAAAATGAAAGTTTTCAGGAAAATTCACATTTTTTACAGTTATGTGGGTTTTTTTAGTATCAACTCTTAAATCAGTCAGTTTCTAGTTTTTCTGGTATTTTGACAACTTCCTAAATTAAATTGCAATTATGGTTTTAAATTGCCTGGGAAGAGAGAGACAAAAGAAAACAAAATAAAACATCTCCTGCTGTCTGAGCGTGTGCGCTGAGTCCTGCTCTAATTAGACATGAATAAATGTCAATTTTTTTTTCACTATAATATATATACATCATCATTTATGCTATAATATATATACATCATGTATTTTACACTGCCATACATGTATGTCATGTTCTTTTGCACTATAGTATCATGTCATAAAATGCTATAAAATATACATCATGTTTTTACAGTATAAATATACGTCATGTTTTTTATGGTATAATATATATGCCATGTTTTTTTTGCACATTTATAATATATATACAGTATATATACAGTGTGTCTGTATTTACACACACACACACACACACGTTTTTTTTAACACGATAATGTATATATTGTACATCATGTTTTTTTTATGGTTTATCATGTTATATATCCTGTTTTTTACACTATAATACAAAGGCAACTCAAACTGAGAGTATTCAGAGTATTCAGAGTATTCAGAGTATTCAGAGTATTCAGAGTACAGTTCTCTGATTGGTCCATGTAACAGAACACAGAGTGAGGTGGATTTAGTCTGAGCTGTTTCAGGGACGAGATCGTGACGAGATGTTTCAGGAAATATCCAGAGTTGATAAATGGACCTGAGTTCATGTTTAGAGTAAATATTATCTGGAAAACAAAAGTAAAACTAAATACTTTGGCTGTACCTGATTTTTACCATCTTAAAAATGTGGAAAACAGAACTAAATCATTTTAAACGAGACCAGAGTGGAGTTTTACCATCACGGTAAAGTTAACAGCAACTAACAAGGTAAATATGCACTTCCTGATTATTGGACAATAAAACACTTTATACTTCGATGCAACGAGCACATTCAGATTTATTCTGACCTCAATAAATCTATACTGTGTATCTGCTCAAATACATGCGGAAAAATCAAGAATCAGCAAACACACTAAACATTTCTAAAACTGCTCCTTAAACATTATTATAATGAAAATAAACGGATCCATCATCAATACAAACAAAGGAAAATCTGACATGACCAATTAAAAACTACAACTTTATTTCTTCATTTATTTTCATATTATTTATTCAGTAAAATTCTGCTTTCTGATAAATATTAAAATACAATAAAAATGTTCATATTTTTTAAAACTATAAAAACTTTGATAAAGGTTCCACCAACTGAAGAACAAATAAAAGACTCCAGGTTTAACTTTAATCTAAATAATAATCAAAGTATCTCATAAAAATACACTGTGTACTGAGGTCCTTAATTTTCACTTTTATGCACAAAATCGTTTCATTTTTCATAATTTAAAAATGTCCTGCGCACCTAAAGTCCTGTGTGTGTGTTAAAATCACACACACACACACACACACACATCACGCCCACACACTGCCGCGGCGGAGGGATACGCCTGAGAATATAGTCCCGGTGTTTTACAGAAGGATTCTCTGTTATTCTGACATTTATAAATAAAACGTGTGTTAATGTCCTCATAATTCACGTCACACTCACACGCGACACATGGGGACGTGCTCGGAATAAAATGTAGGTAAAAAAGTATTATTTTTTTCTTTTTTTTTTTTGTAACGTAGAGCTGACATGTCCATAAAAAAGCAACACGACACACCCTGAACTCATCCCGACCAGAAAAATTTGGCGAAAGAAGGTTCAAATCTGTCAACTTTTTTTTTTTTTTTTTGCCAGTTTTCCAAGTAGCTTCTTCATTTCTGACACGAGTAAAGAAGCTGCTCCTGTATCATGGACCCTCGGGACGACTGAGGGAAAACACAGAAACATAAAGTTCATCCAGAATCAAAATAAACACGGCGGTTTAAGCAATTTTGAAATCGGACTGAGGCCCAAAACGAGACTCAAAAACCGCGGAAACTGGGCCTTTTCTGTGGTCGGCCCCAAACTTTAGAACTTCTCCCCCCTCGTGTTATCAAATCATCAAATCAAACTTTACTTATAGAACGACTTTCATACAAAAAATACAACAAAAAACACTTTTACTCACAGAATTTTAAAAAAGCGTGAGAGTCGTGTGCTCCTCTGACTGTTTTTTTATTTGATTTTATTTGCTATTTTTCTTTTTACAAATTTTTGTATTTGTATTTTGTATTTATTTATTCCTTTCTCTCTCCTCTTTCTCTTCTCTCTCGTGCTCTCTTTTTCCTTTCTCTCTCTCTCTCTTAAATTAGATGAAATCACGATTCAGTTTTAATCATCAAATTGCCCAGCTTTCTCTCTCTCCTCTTTCTCTTTTCTTTCCCTCTTTCTCTTCTCTCTCTCTCTTTTCCCTTCTCTCTTCCCTCTCTCTCTCTCTTAGATTGTCACATAGATGAAATAATTATAATTTTTTTTTTCACCAAATCGTCCAGCTTTCTCTTTCTCCTTTCTCTTTTCTGTCTCTCTCTCTGCCCTTTCTCTTCTCTCTCATCTCTCTCTCTTCTCCTTCTCTTGTCTCTCCTTTGCCTCTCTCTCTGCTCTTTGTTTCCTCTCTCTTCTTTCTTTTCTCTCTTCTCTTTCTCTCCTCTCTCATCTGTCTCTCTCTCCTCTCTTTCTCTTGTCTCTCCTTTTCCCCTTTCTCTGCTCTTTGTTTCCTCTCTCCTCTGTCTCTCTCTCTCTCTTATTTCTCTTCTCGCTCTCTCTGTCCTTTCTCTCTTCTCTTTCTCTTCTCTCTCCTCTGTGTCTCTCTGCTCTTTTTCTTCTCTCTCATCTCTCTCTTCTTCTCCTCTGTCTCTCCCCTCTCCTCTCTTTCCTCTTTCTTTCTCTTCTCTCTTCTCTGTCTTCTCTCTCTCTCTTCTCTTTCTCTTCTCGCTCTCTGTCCTTTCTCTCTTCTCTCTCATCTGTCTCTCTTCTCTCTCTCTCCTCTTTCTCAGCCTCTCTCCCCTCTTTCTCTTCTCCCTCCTCTGTCTCTCTCTCTCTTCTCTTTCTCTTCTCTCTCCTCTCTCTCTCTCTCTCTCTTCTCTTTCTCTTCTCTCTCCTCTCTCTCTCTCTCTCTTCTCTTTCTCTTCTCTCCTCTGTCTCTCTCTCTCTTCTCTTTCTCTTCTCTCTCCTCTCTCTCTGTCTCTCTCTCTTCTCTTTCTCGTCTCTTGTCTTTCTCTCTCTCTCTCTCTATCTCTCTCTGCTCTTTCTCTTCTCTCTCCTCTGTCTCTCTCTTCTCTTTCTCATCTCTCGTCTTTCTCTTCTCTCTCCTCTGTCTCTCTCTTCTCTTTCTCATCTCTCTCTGTCCTTTCTTTCTTCTCTCTCTCTCTCTTTCTTACACTGTCACATGGATGGATGGATCTCTCTTTTCTCTCTCCCTCTTTTCCTCCCCTTTCTCTCTTCTGCCGATGAAAGCTCCATCTCGTGCCGACGGTAAAACCTCAGACTTTATTTTGCCAAAACCCGAAACAGAAGAAAGTCTTTAGTCTTTAGTTTTTAGTCTGAGTTTGGGCACAGTTGGTGTTTGAGGAGATGAAAGTGTTTTAAAAGAGAATCTCACAGTTCATTCAAGACCAAAACTAAAACAAACGAACACGCCCACGATAAAAAGCTCAAAGATGTAGCGCTACTGATTGGTCTCCGTGGAGATAGAAAGCTTTAATGCCACACTGTGAAACATTCCAGACAAAACAATAACTGTTAGACTTGTTTTCTTCTCATTTCATCAGTCGGAGTCGTATCTGGAGAGATTCGTGCATGTTTGACTCATCTTTAACCACTTAATTTCAAGACGTCATCTCTGTTTTCAGCTCCGGCACACGCCCACTGTGTCGGCCGCACTTCATTCTCCAGTTTTATTTTATTAATCGCTGATACACGTAGGATTCTGCAGCGTCACGTCATCATTTTGGTACGAATGTGAAAAAAAAAATGCTATGCTCTAGTGCAGAAGTCGTGGAGGTACTGCAGGGAGCTCGCAAAGTCTTTGGCTGATTAGACTTTTTTTTTAATATATGTTTCTTAATTTTTGAAGGATGAGAATGAACCAGTTTTCAGTGGGTTCTGTCTGTTCGCTCTTTCATCACGTCTGTTTCTCTTTCTTCATTCCCTCGTCTCTCGAAACACATCGGCATGGATTTTATCGTTTCTTGTTCGGTACATGTGAAGAGTTCTGTTACAGCTTCACTTTTACGCAGAGCGGAACTTAAGCTCCTCACGTGCGACCGAGCATCGGGAAGAGGTCAAGCAGCTTCAGTCCCTGAGCGCTTAAACCAGACTCCAGACTCCACAGCCTCCTCCTCTCTGTCCATGGAGCGACCGGGAGAAGAAGAGGAGACTGGAAAAGTTCCATGTCCTATACCAGGGGTGTCCAAACTTTCTTTATCAAGGGCCACATATGTAAACACAGACAAAGCAGAAGACCGATCGAGGGCTGTAGACTTGTGTTGAATACAGTGAATAATTGAAATCTGTGAATGTTTAAACACGTTCGAATGACCTTCAGTCTTTATTCGGGCTAAGATCCTTAACACCAAACACTAAATATTAAATATTCGCTTTATCAAGGTAGATTAAAAAAAAAAAAAAACTTGCAGTAAAAAGTTATTTTTTAATTGATGTAAAGTCATTTGGGC